TTTGTTAAAAATTTAAAAATGCCCCACTCATTTTTTTAAAATACTCCACTATATATTCTTGTCCCTGCTGATAATTTTGATCCAAAAGGTAGTAATCGTCTCGATCTCTTCTTCACTCTCTACTGCCCTATATCCATACCCCCCGCCCCCCCAACATTTGGAGGAGGTGTTGGCAGTTCTCAAGTTTTATTTGCTGTTTTGATCGCTGGACTCCTAAGGTATTGGCATTCTGGGCTTTCTCAACTCTCTCACTCTCTCGTTTTCTCACTCATAGTAATCCCCCATCCATCCCCCCTCTCTGTCTGGATTTTGTAAATGTAATAAACAAATTATTGTCAATAAAAATTACATTTTTATATTTATTATTTTAGAAGAATAATTTATGGGTACATCACTGGTTGCCACCATAACATCTAAAACGGTATAACAACTATATGTTAACCAATTCTTGGGTCTGTATTATGATCGAAACAGATTACTAAATAGAGAAGGGAAAAAAACGAGACTAAGTGGTCTAGAAAAAGCCATGATGGTCTTACATATCAATTATGACTCATGACTCAAAAATCTAATTTAACTCTATCAATTATGCGCAACTTGGGTGCTTTGCAAAATTTTAATTTATTATATTCTTTTTCTGATTGATTTCTAGCCTTTGTCTGAATTCTCTGCAATTCTGAAAAGGATTTGAATGGTTGGAAGAAAGTCTCAACTTGTTCGTGTTGTTAGTTTCCCCATCTATTTTCTCTTTAGGTGGAATATTATTCAGAGAATTATGTTAAGGATATCCGTTTACTATTTGTGAGAAAACGAGAGAGTGAGAGAAACATGATTTCTTTTGGAGAATTTTGGAGATAAATGCTACTTTCTTCCGTGAATGTAATTAACTTTTCTCTGTGCTCCTGATTCCGTTCATTTCTTGATTTTTGTTTTAGTTTCGGATAACTTGTTTTAATTCTAAGCATACTTGCCATTACAAGTTTTACTTTGCCATTCAGTGTTATGTTTCATTTGTATCGAAATGACCTATGTATCGGTTCTTGCATGATACTTTATACAACTAGATAACACTAGATTTTTGTGGTGTTATCATTTTTAATTATAGAATAATGTCTCTGCTTTATTCCCCCTCTATATGGGTTATTTAATTTAGGGAGCTTTGTTTCGTTCTCACATGGCTGCACTATGTAGAATGCGTTTAATGCCTCATTGTTATTTGGGAATCACGTGGTTTGATATTTTTGAATGTGTATTTTCAGAAAATTTGATTCGTGTTGACGACAAACCCTAGTGATTGAAAGTGAGTGCGGAGGATTAGGATTTAGAAGTTGCAGAACACATGGGAGAGCAGGTGTATGAATGGTTTCCTTATCCTTTTAATGTTTTAGATTAATTAATCTCGGTCATCCAACTAAGGTCATTCATAATTCGGTAACTAAATTCAGGTGGTGACTTACCGTAACGTGGTACCAATGCCTTTGGCCCAGCAGTATTTCCTCTCATTTCAAATTGGAGGGTGGAGGGTTCAAGTATCAATTACCCAAGTGCAGGGATTTTCTTGCTAGGAGGAAAATAAATAAATAAATAAATAAATTAAAGGACTTACTGTAAGGTGGTGAGTTCAACCCTTTCCCAATAGCTCATAGGGTCAATTCCTGCTGTTCTTTTCAATGGATGATGACATGGAGAGTGGTAATTTATTGCCTTACCAAGATTAGCAGTGGACTTTAGTCACTTTACCCCACATGCGTAGTAATTCTTACACCCCTTTGGTAAGAACTACTAAGAACCATATCTGCATCTTCTCATTTTATCTTTGATATGCGTCTTATTTTGCTCTTTGATGCATGCTTTTTGACTCTTATTAAGTACTTCTATGATATTTTTCCCATTCCCGTTGAGGCAAACTTTATAGCCTAATGTTATTATCAACCGTTTCTGATTTAAGTATGGTAGTGGACCCATGTTGCACTAGCTTAATGTGAACTTTAGGACATGGTTTACAATGAATTTTGAAGGACTTACAAATTTCATATGAAACTTTAGGACAGGTTACAATGATTTGTTTGCACCTATAGAATCATTGTAGTATAAAATTACCATGTTTCTAGCGAATAAGAGAGAAATTGGAAACAATGACATGCATTTTTAGCCATACAGGTTGCATCCAGAACATCAATGATATTCTGTACACTGTTAAAAGGGACACCTAAGGCAGAAGAAAGTCTTTCTTTTGCAGTTTTTTTTTTTTATTTATTTTTTTCGTCGTTCCTTCTTTTTTTTTTTTTTTTTTTTTTTTTTTCGTGACTTGGGTGTGGGGCTTTCAGATTTCAGTCTCTTTTCATCTATGAAGATGCCCAAAAGGTAAAGAATTTCAATTTTGATTAGATTTCTCATTATTCATTGGAATGGAGTTGATTTTATTATTCTAGTTTGGCATGGAGAAAAACTATGTAACTACTGTATTATGTTGCCACAAATACCCCAATTTCCATCCCATTGATAGTTTGCTGATATTTTAAGTTTCATGTTCTTGTCCCTCGTAGATGCATATAAGTTATATAACCATCTTTTGTTTGCTTTTTAATAAATAAATAAATAACTAGATACAAATTACATGGTTTATATTAGATGAATAACAATTCTGATTGAGTAATGATATTTTGTCTTACCTAAATGGCCGACTAATTGTTCCAATTCCATATGGCAATGCCATGTCATTGCCTGTGTAGTGTGTATATCTATTTATATCTCTTTGTTTTTTCTTCCCTCTTCATTTCTGACATTGTCAATCTCTATGTATATTTTTAATCTTCTCACAAAATTGATTCAATGCTCAAAACTACATCAAATCGAATGGATTTGATCTTTTACTGAAGATTATAAGAGATTGCAAAGAAGAGAGAAGAGACCTAATTTGATGGTATGATTGTAGATTTATGAAACATCAGATTTTGGGAGTTTTGGTTGAAACTAATTAAGATTCCCAAATTCCTTATAAAATTTTATTTTTCCATTTGATTTTTTATCATCAAAGAAGGAACATAGTAATCTAAGAATTCGCATATCTATATATAAAATCATAAGAAAATATCAATTCAGATTTAGTGAAAGAAAAATTTAGTGATAGAGAAATTCAAATTCTGTTAGAGAATAGTAGAAAGTAGAAACAAAAAATACAATACAGACTAATAGAGGAGAGAGGATTCGTGTTTTAGTTTCTTTAGCCTATGTGGCTGTGTCACGTCAGATTCGGACAAGTATTCGGTCGTTTGGATCGGACTGACAGATATTCGACATTAGACCGAATATCATTACTCATTCTGATTAATGCAATACATGAATGACGTTAAAGAACATGTAGTTTAAGATTAATTAAATGTACATGTGTAAAACGGGTTGGGCAGGACTGGTCGTAAAGTATCTGGGACCAAGGCGTGGACAGTCTCGTTATTATTTGGGTCAGGCGGAGTTATGATGAAATTAAAATCAATCTGTCAAATTGGACTGCCCGCAAAGCCCTGTACACGTAGGGGTGTCCGTTCGTTGTGGAGGCCCCATTTGGATGAACAAAGCAAAACCCTCAATGCAAGGTCACATAAATTAAATATAATAAAAGGATAAAAAATTAGGTAATCTGCTTGCAAAATAAATTAAAAAGCTAGAGTGATAAAGTAAGGTAGTCAAACGGGTGGAGTACAAAAAACACTCCCTTGTAGTTCAAATTCTATTTTTGTGGTATGAAAAATAAACAAAAAAAATGACTCATGATCTCAAAAAGTGACAGGGTCATGTGACTAAAAAATGCTCTTTAATATTAATACTATCCTTTTGGACTTTCCAAACTATCCCTAGTTCATTTCTCCCTCATTTCTATATATAACACTCCAATTTTATTATATCTCTCTATAAATACTCTCTCTCTCTCTCTCTCTCTCTCTCTCTATATATATATATATATATATTTGGCCCTCTCTCACGTATATAAATTCTATTTCTTGGATACTAATAATAAATAAATTAAATTTATCTTTCTTCAAAAATTCTACTTACATCCTAGTGTGTATCAAAGGCTCTTTACGTGTCCGTATGTGATATGTTGTGTCGCGCGTGGAAGGTCTCAAGTTTTGGGCATGGGTGAAATTTGGGCTGGGCTGTTTAAGGAATAAGTAAAAAATAATTATATGGGCTAAATGAAAAAATAAAATAAATTGGGCGGGGCCACTTATCTTCAACCATCGGCTTCAACCAAGAGAAAATATGGGGACTGTACCGAGAATAACTTTTGCAGCACTAAAACTGGGTCAACTGGGAATGGGCTTAGTGTCTGCAGTGGCATTTTTATTCTGAATTTGATCTTTTGATTTATTAATTAATTAAAATAAATATAATAAGTCTTATTGACTATCCAGTTATAGGAGAAGTTTTTCAAAATTGAAATTGATTGATCAAATCTTAGTCGATGATGCCACCAGAGAGAATGAATTAATTGGCTAGCATATCTATTGAAAAAAATACATTGGAAAAACTTGATTGGAGAGCTTTAATTGATTTTTGTGTGTTTTCAACGTTAATATATTTTTTGTGTAATTATATATGTAATTTTTCATTAAATTGATTTAACAAATACTGTAATTGAAAATATTTGATAAAGCTTTACTTTTGTAGTAAGTATTAGATTCGGAACTGGTTAGTCATAAAAATCACAATGACTTTACATGTATATACAAAAAAAAAAATTTATAAAAGTTGGCAATTGTTTTTTCTGCAAAATAGTAACAAAATTGCATCACTGCGGACCTTTGCCCGTGATACAACTGTCCTGGCTTTTTCAGTGCCCTCTGCCGATTAAATTTTTTTATTATTATTTTGGGCCTCTGAATCACACGACAAAACAGGGACTTGGTAGAACTCATGTTAGAAAAGATTCATGACGGCCAAGGGCAATATTGAGCAATGATGCACCAACAGAAAAGAAACCAATTTCTTGGAAAAAAAAAAAAAAATTATGCTTAAATGCATATGAAAACACCCAATCTTTATTGTACGTGGTAATAAGATAGATGAATCATAAATGAGATCACCAACATGTCTATAACATCTCATTTGACTGTAATGAGCAAGAGTATAATTTGGCAGTGAAATAGTTGTACATCAAAATTGATTTGCATGAAGCATGAAAACATGTATAAGTTAGTCATATAGAGGATAGCTCAGGAGCTTCACCCGAGACTCTCGACACCGTTTGCTAAACAATACAGAATGAGCTCATGAAAACTTTTGCCTCAAACCTGCCAATAAAATAAATAAAAGGAAGAAAAATATGTAAAATGAGGAATTTCAGAGGATCGTTAATACGTAACGGTAACAACAATTTTATTATGAAACTATCATGAGTAGACTAAGAAAGAAAATGAATGGTTTCAAGGACACTAAGCATCATCAGCAGGGCTACATAAAAATACATTCACATATTATCTATATGCATAAGCCATAAACATATATCTACACACCCACTGTAGAGGTTTTTCACCCACCATTTACATATATATATATATATATATATTTTTACATTATGGACATGTTAGGAGTGTTGGGACGTGTGTCTAAGGAATGTAGGAGCTGTGCAACACAAACACCATATCTCATTCATAACAGGTCAACAGGCGACGGTATAAAAATTGAGAAATAGGCAGGTTATGAGCACAGTTATAGGCCAATTGTAAAGAATTTAAGAGGAGAGAGAGCTAGAGAAGAAAAAAAGAAAAAGTAAAGAACTAACATGCTGTAAATATAAAGTTGAGTAGGTGATCATCCCTAAACAGCAAAACCCTGGATATGTTAATGGAGACCATATAAAAGGCCAGTTCAGTATTTCATCCTCAATCAATCAGGTGCAGTAAATCATGTTTCAGTTTTCCTTGTATTAAAATTAGATATAATTTAAAATTAAAAGAAAAATAAGAAACAAATCTTCAGTCATATTATTAGCAAATTGTCTAAAAAGAATGAACCCATTAGGTTGTAGCATTCCTCAAATAAAAAAAATAAAATGCATTCCATAATTAAAGAAGAGTTATGCGGAGACATGTTCAGTAACATTGTTCATCAAATTATCACAAGGAACCATTTAGTTTGAGCGTCAATCCCATTACCCACGATAAAAACATGATTACGCTGTGCGAATTGCTTAAGAATATACATCTTAATAAGCATATATGGAATTAACACCCATAGAACTCAAGCAGTTGCCCTGCACTCTCGTTATAACTAGATAGAACTCTCATTTTTAACAGAAACAATTAATGTTGATTTTCAAACTATACTTACCAACAACCTGATAGCTTCATCTTTATTCTATGTCAATATATCCCAAAATATCCAACTCACTATAGTCCCACAACAATAAAGTTGAATTATATAACAGTACTAGGAGATATAAGCAAACAAAATGGGCTTATGTCAATAGAATCAATACTGACAGAGCAATAGTAACAACTCATAGAGGTAAATCATAAAATTTATGTGAACTCATCTAAGTACAGAAATTACCTTTGGCACAGTAAACTACGCATGATACTCATGTATACGTATCCATTTTGTAGACGACCACTTGTTCCCTTTAATAACAGGACAGCCACCTAAAATTAGGAAGAAGCAAAATTCAGCTAAAGAAATATGACACACTGGGGAATGAGCAAGTGAGAAGGGAATAAAGACTGTGTACAAGTTCCTTGGGAAACTCAAACTCAAGTAAATGGTTACATTATCAACATGCCTTTACATCTATGTTAGTTGGCACCTTACTTAAATGTTGCACATCTCAAACTTGATGACAAATGACAATGAACTCAAATGATTCTTTTAAGGCAGATGTGGTAAGCCTACACAACGAGATGGGTTTTGTCCCATGTCTGCATGGTCATTAACAAGACCTTACTACATATTTTTAACAGCCAATCAAACAATAAACTATAACTAACCATGCAAACTTGAAGGATCTGGAGTTGCATCAGGCTTCATGCTCCAGAAAAGCAACGCATCACCCATCTTTGGTTTAACAGAAAGTCCTCCTTTTCCGCATTCAGATAGCTCATTCCACCAAGGCACAGAACTATAATTTCCTTTGGCAACAGGAAATACCGTCTCACCCCCTTCTTCAACATCTGAGCTGTATCATGATAAAAGTGGCAAAAAATATTATATGGGCCTATGCAAATAAAAGAAGCAATATAACTTTAAAAAGAAGTGACTAAATTCATTACTTACAGGTACATTAGAACTGTAGCAATGCGTTGACCCCCATTCTTAGTGTTAAAGTCGTCAAGAAAGTAGTCGTAGTGAGGTTCATATTTTTGGCCCACTTCATAGTGGAGAATTTGAAGTCCTTCCCCATTTTCTGTAGATTACGGCATTGACCCAAATTAAAACCAAAGTTTATCATAACAAATATAAAATTTTAAATGAATCATAAAAATATTCTGGAGAAAGGAAAAAATATATATATAGCATCTTTTAAGGGTGTACTTGTTTGGAAGGAAATGGAATTGGTCTAGAGATCTGGATTCATCTGAATAAACTTCCAAAGAGGGGCAAAAAGAATCTGTTGAATATGAAATTCAGGTTTAAAATAGATATGAATGCAGGGCAAGAGGCAGTTCTGGTGACTCGGTGCCAAAAGAGCCAGAGGTGGTGGTAAAGGAGTTGATAGAGGTGCCAAAGAGAATGGAGATACTGCAAGATAAAAAGGAGTTTTAAGGAACATGTCACAAGGGAACGAGAAAGAGAAGTTATACAAGGACATAAAGGAGATTTTGTCATTCCAACACCACCAATAATAAAGCATTTACACATAAAAAGTAACATAAAACGCAAATATCAAGCATGCAAAGGCAGCCTGTAAATAGTAGTGAATCAGTGATCACCAAGAACTCAATTGCTAATAATTAGAAATGTTCTTAATAAACACCCTTGTAAAGTTAACTAACTTATAAATTGATGGATGTCTTCTTTCTCGAAACCCTTGCAACAAAATTCATGAAGTCAACTAGGAAAAAAAATATTCATGAAGTCCAGCTTAGGAAGTGCATTTATCAAATTAATCAGCAAATAACACAAGTGAAAAACTTGTTGCAAATTATTGTGCCACAGTAGCCATAGCAATGACCAACTAGCTGTCCAAAGGTACTAGCTAAAACATATTAGCAATCCCTTTCCAAAATTTTTATTTCATCAATCCAAGAAGAAAAAGACAATCCATGGGTTAGGTGATCAAATACCTAAGAGATGAATGCACTTTCCCATATAAAAATAAGCCTTATATCCTCCTCGTCCAAACTTGTTCCAAGTCTAGACAAATTTTATATTATTATTCGTTGGTTAAATGAGTTTTAACTTCATAACTATTACAATAAATTTCCCTACCCACCAACTGGCACCAACCAAGGTTCATAGCATGCCATAAGCCTGCCATCAATTGGACTTGACAACGTTGAGCTCCATTTGTAGAGGGATGAGGTCAGGCCGAAAGCCAGGAAAAATAATAATAATAATAATAATCTCAAGCATCCACAGATTACAATTTGATCCAAAATTGTAACACCAAATTAACAATTTGAGGCCTGTTCATTTCTGCTTTCACACATAAGTTTCATGCACACTAACTCTTATACACATGAAATTTAAAAATCAAAATAGAAGCCTGCCAAAAATGAAAAGAATCTTAAAAGGTGAGTTACTAAAATCTAAAGAATTAATAAGCAGTTCTCAACACCATACCTACAGGTATGAAGGTGAAATCTGCAATTCTTTTCTCAATGTTCCGGATTATTTTATCACGTCCTCTAGCCAGAAAAGTTCCAGAGCTAGTACGCACCCTGCATGTAAAAGATATGTCAAAAGTACTTAAATCAAGCACATAAAGAGAGATGAATTTGAAGGAAGAGAGAGTTTCATCTTCCAAATCTAGATTAAATGCAAAAAAGAGATTTTAGGTAAGAATTTCACACCTACTATCTTTACTCTTGCCAGTCTCACTATCAACAACTTCGGACTTTTGCATGTGAGGCTTAGCAAGATTGATCAGATAATCGCATTCAGCCTCAGACTGCAGATTAAAAATAAAAGGACATTCAATGTTTGATTACTTTAGATAACATCAAACTGGGCCTTGGTCGAGCATGAAATATTTTTCAATAGGAAACAAAAAACCATAACATGCTGTCCATTTGATTATAACAAACCAACAGACATACAAACTCGCTCCATAACAAGAATCTAACTGCATTTTATTAACAGATAAATAGCTAACAATCATGATGATAATGGAGTAGAAAAATTCATGATAATTGCAAATATATATATATATATATATAAAATAAAATAAAAAATGGGTGGAAAATCTCATACAAAGCTCATGCCTAAAAGATTAAACTCAGTGCCCCAAATACTAGATTGTTTAAAAGGTCAAAATCTTTCAATTAGAATGCATTTTTGTCCTGGCATCAATCCTAATGAGTCTCCGTAACTAAACGCTTTACATCCTTTTAAAATCCTTTTGCCGCTCAATATACCAAAAGAAGGTTTCTTATTTATAAATTGTTCACAAGATTTGAATGAACTCCAGAATTCGGAAATTTTTTGGGCAATTACACTTCATATAAGCGCAGCAATCAAACATAAAACCTTTCATTTTTGCTAAATTAAACAGTTTTAATAGGAATAATTTACAAGAGCAGGTTATAGGGGGAAAAAAATAGAGACAAAAATAAAAAAATAAATAAAACTAACCAAAAAATTATGATAAATGAAGGCTCTTGGCTCCCAAGAGATGACTTCGACCCATTGATCACCTCTGCCGTCATCTTCTTCACTTCAGACAAAAAAATTCCCACAAATCAAGTCAGATCACAATCGAATTTGACCAAATTACAAAAATTAAATCTCAAATCAACGCAACGTACCTGTCCAGAGTCTTGTGAACGATTGAGCTGAGATCAATGGCTTTCTGAGATTTGCGGGAACTGCTGGGAATGGAGAGGATTCCGAGAGCAAGAAGGATGAGAACAAGGAAGGAGAACATGATCAACATAGCTAAAACAAAGGTAGACGAAGACGATTTCCGAGACGGAGCGCGCGAGTGCCTCCCTTTCACCGGCATTGTTGCTCAGATTCAGAGCTTCGAAGAACAATTCAAATGCCTAGAAATCAACAGTTCAGAAAAGAAGAGAAAGAAGAAGAAGAAGAAGGAGATCTGAAGATTCGGTGAGAGAGAGACACGTAGACGCGCTTTTTAAAATTTCTTCTCACAGTGCATGGGGTTTTGGTAGTGAAACGGATTTTTATACCCACGAAAAATGAAACAAACTGCCGATAACACTGTATCGTCAAAGTTTTCTTTTCTTTATCGGATGTTGTCTTTTATTTTATTTTTTAAATTTTTTATTGAATAAAGAGACCTAGATAAAACTTATCTATTTTTTTTTTTTTTTGGAATAACACGCACTCACTCTTAATAAAATACAAAGACATCTTATAATAATAAATTGATTATATTACCCTTTGGCATAAAATTGACAAATATAACCATTTTATTGACTAAAATACCCCTTTAACAACTATACCAGTTTGGTCTTTCTTGACCAGATTCTCAGTTCATTAACACTTGCGTAGGCAAGGTCTGCAATTAGCTTCCCTTTCACCCTTTGTGTTAATTGTGAATATGCAGTGGATGATGTTGGTTCTCTTCTTCTACTGCAACTTTACTTCTGCTGTTTGGTACTGGTTCAGTCAGTTTCTTAATTGGTCATGGCATTTCTCAGATCCCAGTTGCGAGCTTGCTGATGTTGTGCCTTGATTTGGTCAAAATGTGAAATCAAAAATGAAGAAAACACGGTTGAGTCCGGCGAAGACAAACCCACTCCGGTGACGACGAACTAACATTAGTCTCGCCGGCTTCTATATTTTTCGCAATCTTCTTCCTTTCCCGGCCAAGACTATGTTTTCCATCCCTATACCATTTTTCCTTACAACTTTGCCACATATGTTAAATTACAGTGGGATAGTAAAGTTGGTAATAAAGCAAATGAAATTAACATTTTTTAATTGATACTGTGATAAGTAAGGATTCTATGAATTTCTAGATAAATTACCTAACTGAATGGAATATATGAAAGCACTGGGATGTAAAAAAAGGTTAATCCAAAACAACGGAAACTACGTACTCTGTCTCACCTTTGGCAGAAGAGGTCTTTCATATTGTTCAGCCAGAAGACAGCTTCACCTTCACTCCCTAAAGCCAATTGCAATTGTTACGACATGAACAGATGTTCAATCTATAAAACTTTAGGTTCTCACTTACTGTATGATTTGTGAAAATCGACATTTAAAATGCAGTGATCGATCTCATGTACACTACTTACAAAATGTTGATTCCAATCGCTTGGCTGAAGAATTCCACCCAATATCTGGTGTGATGATGATGCGCGTGAAGAGTGAACCCCGACGGCTGAGGTGTGATGATGATGCGGTGGCGGCGGCACCCTCTTCGATAGCGCAACCATCAATGATGTTGATTTAGATGGGTGGGCGGTGCCTGTGTGGTTATATATAAAGATGAAAAGGGTAATTTGGTCTTTTAATTATTTTGATATTTCATAATTAAAATTAATAAAAAAAATAAAGGATAAAATTGACTCTTCACATGTTTTCTGGGGTTAAGTATTTTATTTAATTTTCATTTATATTTAAGGTCGTAAGTTTTTTGTTTTTTTTTTTTTTTTTTTTTTTTTTTTGGTGAAAAGTAAGGTCGTAAGTTCATAAGCAGAAGTTATTATATCATTCTATACTAATAACCCTACTTGCATTCATTTTTGTCTTCTTTTTCCTTTAAGTATTACGGGAGAAGCACTTAAAAGTCGTCTTTTATTTTAACCCATTTTTTCTTATTTTATTTTTAATTTGTGCTACTTCAACTATTTCATGAATGTGATTATATTAAATTTTATTTTATTTTATTTTATTGCATATCTATCTCAACATTTCCATTTCTTTCACACTCATTTGATACTAAATGGACTCAGTAAAGTAAAAAATGACAATACTCTCACATTATATCATGAAGTTTGAATTTTTATTTCCCCCTTAATTAGTGTTCACACAACCCCTCCAAAAAATTATTTGCATTCAAGAGTTTTTAGTGAAAAATCATTTTATAAAAGACATATTGTTTTTAGTGAAAAATCATTTTATAACATCCATGTTCTTTCTTTTTCATATTCAAACCATTTTAACTGATTTTCTCTTGTTTTATCTTTAATTTGTGCTACTTCAATAACTATCTCCCTGGTGTCAAAATAAAAGGAACTATCTCCCGAATGTGATTGTTTCTATTATTATTATTTTTTTTTTTTGTAATCTTACTACAAATTCATCTCAACATTCACATTTCTGTCACACACTTGAGAAAAATGAAAACTATTATAAAAGACATGCTTTTTTTATTTATTGAAAAGTGAAAACTATTATAAAAGAAATGTTTATAGTTAAAAATTATTTTATAATTCACATAATACTTTGCCTGTTTGGAAAAATAAAAATAAAAATTCCCATAATACAATTTTATGAATTCTTGATAATTGTTTTTGAAAGGCTGAACCAATATAACATTATAAATATTACCAACATCTGATGTACAATATAACATTTTAACTCAACTACAAATTATACTTTTACCATGCTAATAGCCTAATATCAGCCTTTTTTTAATTTTATTTCCACTATTTATAGAAATTGAAAATTAATGGACAATGGGACTCTTTTGAAGGAAAAGCAATTTATAAAGGTGATATTGATTCGGCACACTCAATCAAATGGCAAAAAGCGTATACTCGTGATGAGAGCACTTCATAATAGATATGATTTTAAAATTTCATGAATTTCTAAATCCACGAGGGTCCCATGATTTAATGCTTGAAGAGCTTCAATTACAGAGGATGATTCGGTCATATATTAACAATTAATATCACTTGTTTTGGTAGTGGAGTAGACGTGCATGATGATATAAGATCAGATGATATTGCATAATTGATCCTCATCCAAAAAATGAATTGTATAATTGATCATGACCCTGTCAAAAACTATATATATATATATATATATATATATATATAGGTCAACTACTGCTCAGAGAGTTTGTAAAGTCTTTTTGGAGCTTTGGATAGCAGCAATTGAGCTGGTCTCATGTTATCCATTGCACCCTTCAGTATTAATTATAATGGGTTAAATAGATTGTAACCCTTTCTTTAATTTTATTTTGAATTTTTTATCCACTATCCTATCTGAGGAACACAAAACAACACAATGGCTGTTTTTATATGACAGTCATTGTCATTTTCTTACTCATTTAATATTTTTTTAAAGATAAATATCATGTGCATCACAATCTCGATTTTTTATGGCCGAGTTCCGCTACGTGAGATTCACAAGCTTCAAAATGTGAGATTGTGCAATCGTGATTGCACTTGACATTTCTTTTTAAATAAATTTCACAACAGTACAATTTTAACATTTTTATCTGTAAGCTTCTCAGTTCCGCTATGAGGCCGATACACAAGATTTCATAGATGAGATTGTAGAATGGTGACTGCACTTTACATTTCTCTTTAAATAAAATTCACAACAATACAATCTTAACTTTTTGATATGTGGGGTCCACTATGAGCATCATATATATGTGGACTCCACTGTGAAACTCATACGATCCAAGAACTGAATTTGTAGAATCGCGATTGTGTATAGATCAACTCTTATTTAAAGCATTGAAGTACCAAAGTTCCAACAAAATGAAACATTGGATTTGGTGGCTGGTGAATTGAATTGGCTACTAGGTATGTGGTTGGTAGATTTGGGGCTACCCAGTTAACCATATATAGTAAATGGCATTAAGAAGTGAAAATGATGCAACAAGTTCAAGATTATATATTGGCACCTTACTTCATTATTCATGCTAAAACCCATGTTCACAGCAAGCAGCTAAATTGATAAGCAAATGCCAAATAGGGCACAAGTACACACACACAAAGGCTTCTTAGTTTATACAACCAACCATGAATGTCCCAAACAAGGGTCTGTAAACTATAACATAGGCATCCTTATGACATTGTAAGAGGCCATTTTTGAAGTCCAGTTTGAAGATAAAAGTAGACTTGATGGCTTAAAATTTGAGCAGTTGAATCTGCAGCTTGAATCACTTAAAAAACACCAAATGAGGTGGTCGGCATGGGAGAGGGCTTATAGTTGCAGAAATTGGGAATATAAGTAGAGGTTCGACGTTTGGGTTTGTCCATGGACTGGATGGCTGGTTGGTTTAAATAAGCGTACTTGCTCTTCGTCCACCTGCACATGTTTAATAGAAAAACACATATTAATATATAAGTTGCCACCATAATCATCAGAACTACTGTATAATTTAATCGAGGGATTAAACTAACCAGTCCTTTATTCCCACATGAAGTTCTTCATTGTTCTCATCTGGTCTGATGGATTTATTGGCATTGGCATTGTTATCCTTACTTTCATCGTCCTCTTTCAACCACGCTTCAAAGCGCTTGTAATCATCCTCCTACACACACCATACACCTTCAGCTAGTTAATCAAATGTATACCAAATTCAAAAATGTGAAACGAGTTACAAGTTTTTAGTATGTGGACATGACCTGCACTGGCATGTGAAGCAAATGTGTAACACACACTTTATTAAACCATTATAAAGCTGCATACTGGTTATATACTAATCAATTATGGTAAAGATTCTAATCATCTCAGAGTCCAAACGAACAGGAGAGTGTAGAGATGGCTTCATATGGAGTGGGGTCCACTCTGCCATGAGAGGATCCTAATTCCCATTATAAAACTCATTCTCTTATAATTTGTTGGATCATAATTAGTTTTTATTTGAAACCAAGCCGTTAGAATTTTTTTCATTACAAGAGAGCCGTTGTGTTTTTTATTTATAAAAAGGAAACAAAGAAAAGTGGCTGCCTTTGGGCCCACATTGGGCTTGCTATGAATCTATAAACCATGGCCATCAATATGACTAGCTAAATGGGCTGGCCCACCATTGGCCAGCACCATACCGGATCCTTTGATTATGGTTAAATCAAAACTATTCTTCCTCAAAATTGATTTCACAACAGAAATCTGTAAATGGCTCTACCTCTCTTATGGTAAAACAAAAAACAAAAAACAAAAAACAAAAAAACAGTGTTTCTTGATTGAATGGTGGTTGAATTACCCACAAGGTGACCTATCAGACCAAGTCCACATCAATACAAGTTGGAACACACTTTGTATTTTTCTATACTTTCTTTCTTCACATGGCCCCAACAACACTACTAACATCATAAAGCATATAGCAGAAGAAAAGGAAAAGACAACCCTAAAAGGGAATCAATCATTCTTTCCTATTTCCTATATTTTTTTTATTTATTATTATATCTCTTTATAAATCCTGCAAGTTTCATATAGGTAGCATCAACAGCTCAGAACAAACTACAAAGATAAATTAGGCATACTTTTCAATGTGTATGTACAAATAGTTTCTTATTGTGGCATTGTCAAATTAAAGGGCTTGACTCAAAATGGTGAATTATTTTGGCAAGTTAATAGAATGCTCGTAACATTGAAAAAAAATGCTCAATCAATAAGCTAAAAAAAAAATGTGTTCTTGGTTATAACAATATGACTTACCGTGAGTTTACTTGCCCTAATACGAGCTGCAGCCTTAATAGCAGCTAGGAGATGATCTTCCTCATCGACGCGCTTCTGCCTCCAGAACTTAGCAATTTCCTGATTTGTGAAGCTCACCGGAACAAGCGTCTTTGGCAGCGGTGGTGGAGGTGGTGGTTGAGTGGTCTGTTTCAGCTTAACACTAGTGCTACCTTCTTTTTCCACCCCCATTTGCTTGGTCTTAAGAAACCCCCAATGCAATGTGTATATATATATAAATATACTGTTAGTGTAATTAGTATTAGCAGTGTGAGATTGCAAGATGGTAAGAAATATATAAAGATAAAAGTCTATGGAGCTACCAATCCAACCTAACTTTCACAGATGACTGATGGATTGAAACTCCTAGCACATGACTGTTAGATATGTGTTTCAAAATTAATTTTATTATATACGTAAATAACTTATATTAATTAACTTTTCAACTAGCAAAGTAATTTGATTTTTTTTTTTTTTATTATTTTTCTCATATTTGGTGCAAAATTGGAATACCGACTCGCACAGAACACAAACACAAAAAATAACCCAACCACTCGATCGGCTAACAAATTTTTAATAAGGTCAACTACTTAATATATATAGCTAGAAATGCCACCGCCTTGCATCTGACTGGTAGATGCAAACTGAAATTTCAAGTCATAATCAGAAAAAGGAGGATGTGGATAATACCATTAATCCATCCAAAAACAAAATAGTACTTCAAAGTTTCAAGACCATAACTATCGCACCTCTTTTTTTTTTTTTTTCATAAATGTAGCAATCAGACTTTTGTTTCAGTCTGCATTTTTTTAATTGGCAACCAATGAGCCCATCTACGATATAGTGAAATCGTATCTAGGAAATCTTGATAATCAATATAAGTAAATGATTAGATGCTTGAGTAAGGGTTAATTAATAAACGCTAAAGTGCAAAAAGTGCAAAAAAAAAAAAAAAAAAAAAAAAAAAAACAAACCCTCTGAATTATGTTTGAACATTTTAAATAATTTACTTAAAATATATTTTGTGTACAATACCTTCTGAACTATCATATTTTGTTACAAAATGTCCTTTTCATTAAATGACGATAATTAATGTCATTTTTTATTGAATTACACTTAATTTATTTTTCTTATTAAAATAAATTATGAAAAAAATACATACTAATTTGATGATATATTCTCCATTAAATTTTCATAAATTTAGCTTTAATTTTTGAAATTAATTATTTAAATAAAAATATTACATACAAAATTTTAAAACAATTTAAGTAATTTCTTAATTTTTCAAGAATATATTGCATGAAAATGAAGATATATTTTTTTTTGTTTAAGTAATTTTTAAATTTTTTAAAATTATATTTTACGAAAAATAGTAGTTACAACTCTATTTTCTTTTTCTTTTTTTATTTTATAATAAATTGATACTAATAATAAAATTAAAATAAATGATATAATTAATATTTAGATGAGAGAGTTGACCGAAATTATTTGTAAATGGGCAAGGCTTTGCCATGACTTTCCTTGAGCACCTTCTGATGATCAGATTGCTTTTGAAACAAAAACGGGCCAAACCTTTTTGGTTCAGGCTCCCTAGTGCCTCTTTAACTTTGCTGCTCACAGCTAGCTTTATACGAAGTAGCAAGTTTTGTTCATTATCATAGTGATTTTTATAATAAAAATATTAATATACGAGACCTTTTTTTTTTTCCCTCTCAAATATACGAGACTTTTGACTTGTTCTCCTACATTAGAAATTAACTAAGAGAATTGTTGCATATTAACGTCCTTGAAAATTACTTCAGCATTAAAAACGTTATAACCGTTATTTTCTCGTTTTCAAAAAAAAGGTGGTTGAAGATCTTCTCAAGAATATCATGACTGCGTTTTTTTTACTTAAAATAAATAAATACTCTTGACATTATTTTTTTTGACAAATATAAAAACTAGAACTATTAATCCCACTGAACTATAAATAAAAAAGACTCATTCCTTTCCAACATGAAACGATGGAGATTAAAAACAATAATAAAATAGTAATATCTTCGATTATTGTCAATTGTAAAAAATACTTTTAAAGTGTATATCACATCTCTTACGTGTAAAAAAATACTCCTAAAGTTTCAATTTCATGAAAATAGGTCATTCTGACAAATTTAACCATAAATTGACTAAATTACCCTCACCGAACCATTTTATGAAATATATAAAAATAAATAATTTTGTAAAATTACCGAAAAAGACATTATTGGAGAATGCCCCGTACAGAAAACACCCCAAACGACAGTCGTATCCTTTTTTTGGACCAAGTAATCATCATAAGCTTTGACATCATTAAGGATACAAAGAAAAAGTTCTTGTCGCATCCTGAATCATCTGTGAAAGTACCCTGGTGGATATATGCAACTCTCGTCAAAGTAATCTTTCATTAGCTGATAGTGGCTTCCCTCTCGGTCAAGATGTATGTACCACTTTTTATTATGGACTTGAAATACTTGTTCAACTATCTCTGCCCTCACTAAATTCATAATCTCATAGAATTCTTCTTGATCATGTTGAATCAACGCGGCAATAGAGTTGTTTTCCAAAGAGCATGACGAGGAAGATGAAGAATTAAAGTTAGACAAAGAAAAAACTTGTGATGACGAAGCCAATGGAATTTCAAAATTAAAAGAGAAGGATAATGATATTTTGTTACAATGGAGTGAGATAAATGTAGTAATGATTTTCAGATGACCAAATGAGTATTCATTATATAAGATGAAAAATATAGTCGTTAGAAATATAGCCGTTAGGAATATAGCTGTTAGAAATATAGCCGTTAGGAATATAGCTATTAGAAATATAGCCGTTAGGAAAAAGTTAATATATATATATTTGGAGAGCAAAAATATGGAGAGCCTGATGGAGTGTCTGTTTCTGGAGAGCGAATGATGCTGATATGGTTCTTGTAAATGCTGACGTGGCTCTTAGAAAAGCTTAAGGCTCAGTTTGGTAGAGTGAAAATGGGAGGAAATGGAAGGAAGGTGATGGAGGGTGATTAAAAAATTGTGTTTGGGTAAAATGGGTGGAAGGAAAGGAAATGAGAGGGAAGGGTTTGGAAGGTTATGTATAGCTTTGTACAGTAATTTGCTTGTCTTCCCAAAAATGGGAGGAAATGGAATGAAAGGGAAGGCAATGGTTGAAGCAATATTTGTGATGTCAATTTTACCCTCAAGATTATATATACATACAAGTTAGCAGCTGCAGAGAGAGTGAGAGACGGTAGGCCAACGACTGAAGCTTGTAACCAGCGAACCCGAACTGGAACAGCGGCGATGGAAATTGAAAGATATGAGTTTTGATTTTCTGAACAATCTAAAATGATATACTGATACGGGTTTTGAACTTTTGATTCTTGCAGACAGATAGATAAACTGAAATATATAGGTTTTGAACTTCTGATTCTTGTAGTGCACAGAGAGAGAGAGGGCAAGTTCAGACTGGAGAACGAGAAAGGAGATGGAGGCGAGATTGGGCAGGCTGAAATGAGTTGCCTTAAAACTTTTTTTTTTTCTTTTCTTGTAAGCCTGAGGAGACAATATAAATATATACATATATATATATATATATATATATATATATATATATGGAGGCGAGATTGGGGAGGCTGAAATGAGTTGCCCTAAATTTATTTATTTATTTATTTTCTTATGGGCCTGAGGAGACAATATAAATATAAATACACACACACACACACATATATATATATATATCAGAGTTGAGAACGAGAATATGGAGGCTGAAATGATTTGCCCTAATTTTTTTTTTTTCTTTTCTTGTGGGCCTAGAGACAGTATATATATATTTTAAAATATAATTCCCTTTCTTTTCTTTCCCCTTCTTTTCCCAAACGTGATTATTGTCCTTCCTTTTCTTTTCCTTCATTAATCAACCAAACACAATACCAAATTAAAATAATCCTTCCCTTTCCTTTCCTTGCCTTTCCTTCATAACTAATGTTATCCTTCCCCTTCAAACCCACCCTACCAAATATAGCCTAAGTGGTTTTTGGAAAGCCAAAATTCGAAGAGGTTGGTGCGGATGCTATTAGTTGGCCCACTTTGTCTGACCTTATGGACCACCGAGAGATTATTATAAATTAGGTAGTCTCGGGACCACCACGTCATTTTTGGTCCCGGGCAATCCTCGCCGTTTATTTAAGAAAATTTGCCTAGAAAGATTACACAGTAGCAAAATCTTTACACATCAACTTTTTTCTCTATCTACACCACTGATATATAAAGCGACATCACCGTTCTCTTCTTTACCAAGGCGGGACGAAAAATCTAAGGATTTTGGTATAGTTCAATCAATGATTCTTTACATCAAAGATTCTCCATAAGCATCGACGCCCCAGATCAATGAGCTCCGCCAACGAGCTGTTCTTGAATGGCCGGATATGGCCGATAAAACAACTGAGAAGGATTTTTAAAACAATTGAGGGGGATAGAGGTGTCAGTGAAGGGCAGTATCGACATGTTGACGGAGGAGATGATAGTCAGCTGTTCACCCCAACGTCCAGTCGATAAAGCGCACCTGACGTGAAGAAGGTCAGTGAAGATCAGAGTGGTGGCCGGCAAAGTCATCCTATCGTTGTCGTCAGAGACGTGAAGAAGGCCAGTGAAGATCAGTGGTGTAGAGAGAGAAAGTTGGGAGGAGAAAAAAGATGGAAATGCTAATACGTAAAGGTTTTGCTGATGTGTAATCTTTCTGGATAAATTATTTTAGATGGATGACTAGGATTGCCCGGGACCAGAAATGATGTGGTGGTACCGGAACTACCTAATAATTTCTCAACCCCGTGACATGACATCGAGAAATTATTAAATGGTTCAGGTCCATTTGACACGTGGTGGCCTAGTTAGATCAAGACCATTGTTGAAATTTCTTTATAATAGATTAATACACTTTTGTGGAGTCATTTTTTCAATCGAAGAGTCCTAATTGAATTGGTCCATCAAGTGTCCATGAACCTGGACCATCTATTAATTTTTGACATCCCAACTTCATTTATCATGCTTATCCAAATCCAACCGCTTTGAATTTGCAATTTCTTAGTTAAAGTTCACAAGAAAATACTCATAACGAAAAAGTAGGGCTGCAACTCGGGCGGGTTTAAGGTATAACTTGAGCCCAACCCACCATATGAAATGTTAAACCCTAACCCTATATTCAACTCTAACTACTCAACCAGAGCGTAACCCATCCTTATACTTTTAAATTCGGG